TGATTTGCTTTGTTGTTTTTTCTCTTCTCTTCCTATCACATTACACTTTTCATTTTCTTTTCTTTCTTTTTCCTTTCATACCCTGAAACTGGAAAAACGTTTAATTAATTTTTGATTCGACTTGCAAAATTCTCTGACCGAATTAGCTAAAAAGCAATTTCTTTAGTACAAAACTTGCTGGTCAACAAAACTTTTTTTGAAAACTGATAGACTTTTTTCGAGCAATACATTATTTCAGCTTTTTTTCTTGACTCAAATAAAAAATGTCTTACTTATTATTTCGTACCTAACACGTGACCGCTGTCCGCTGGACGACATTGAAGGCTCACTCATCTGTCCTGTGCTATCGCTGCTGGGGTTATCGTGGTCAATACTTGCTTCATCTGATTCCACAGTATCACTCACATGMGTAAGAGTAGAGTTGCCACCATCGCTTAGTTCACTGCTGTCTGTTCCTTCGTACGTCGAGTTCTTATTCGCGACTAACGCTTTGACGTCATTCTTATCGACATGTCCATTAATGCGCATGCTTAGACCAACGAAGTTGTCATTGTTGTCGATCGATATTCCAGTAGTATTGTCAATGTCATAGTCACCGACTGCAGTCGACTTTGTTTTTAATTGGAAACAACGATCGCAGTAATTATCTGACAGGCAGCATTCACCGACACCTACTGTCTTCGTGCGTACGTTCAAACATCGGTCGCAAAAGCTATCAGTAACACTACAATCACCAACACCTAATGTCTTTACACTCGGAGCAGCTACAGCACCAATAGATCGTGTTTTCACGTTAATACACCTATCGCACAGGAGCTCAGAAATGCTGTCGCTTCCTGACCCAACTGAACGGACTCTTTTTGAAGTGCAATTAACACACACTGAATCCGTTAGCCGACTTATTCCAACTCTATTCATTTTGGTAGTAGTTTTGCTTTTAGAATCAATAGCGACCTTATTTGTGTCATCTTTCTGCAGCTTCATACTCCCAAAGAGGTCATTTATTGTGAGTTTTCCATCGCCGCAAGCTGCTTCTTTAAACTCTACTCCCCAGCATCTGTGGCATAGATAATTATCATCTAATGACCCATTACCAACTCCGTAAGATCTATAAGTTGGTAAGTCTATTCTATTGGCCATAATTTCGTCAACAGACTTCGTCGTAATGAACTCTTCATCACTCAAACAACGTGAGCAATAGTCATCATCAATCGTACAAATACCAACACCCACAGAAACATAAGGTTCGGCTATAGTTGTCTGTGTCCCGATACACTCAACCTCTTTATTTTGGTCTCCCTGGTAACCAGGGCTCTGAAACCGCTCAGTTTGAGAAGCACACGATTCCATGTAGGGTTTGACGTTAATTCCTTTGTCAAAACTTTCCGAGACTAAAGAGTCACAACCAACGCTTGTTTTTTCGACAAAAGTCTGTGAAGTTTGGTCTTTAGTTTTTAATTCGGCGATTCCACTTCCAACGCCACAATCTTTAGTAAAAGACCTTATCATTCCAACACCTATTGATCTTGTTGAAACTTTACGCCTAGGGCTGCTGTCTTTCGCTTCTTTTGCGTGGATGTCATTCTCTTTCTCAGCATTGCTCTTCCATATCGTATGATCAATACCTCGAATTTTCGTCTGCGTTCCCCGATTATGAGGAATATTTTCAAAAGTTTCCAATTTTTCTTTATTAAATTTTATTGCAGAAGTGAAGCCACTCTTGCATCGTTCACAAACGTTTTCTTTAGTCTCAGTTGTATCAGTGTCTGTGTTTCCATTGAGCAAAGACGTTGATCCAGATAGTTTCATTTTGAGTTTCCTTCTGACGGAAGCGAATTCATCTTCGTCATCTTCAGTGTCACTTTTGCATCCTCGTTGCCGAAGGGTATTGTAATACAAATCGTTATAACCGTACGAACGGTTTTTTTTCATCGAGCACTTGGACTGTAATTGCTTCAACAACTGTCGTTTCTCTTCTTGAAGAACCGAATTCTGTACTCGTAAAGTTGGAACACATTTGACCTGTTCCTCAAGGTCTTTCACGCGTAGTAAACTATGTTTTAATTGTTTTCGAATGTACAGTAAAGTGTTTTTGAGATCTGATCCTGCAGGAAGACTAGCGATGGATTTTTCGAGCAAACTTGGCGACGGTTTCTCGCTCTGTGTAAACTCCAGCGTCTCCATATTAAAGCCGAACGTCAAAGGAGACAATGAGTTACTACCGCTGGCTCCAGTGCTTGACGTACTCAGAGGAGATAGACTCCGAGGTGAAGGAGACATGTCTAGTTCGGGAAAATTCTTAAAACCACTTCCAATGGAGTCGGTATCGGAACCAATGCTCTCTCCATCGCTGTCGTATCGATCGATATTACGGATCGATGATCCGTCGTCTGACGAGAACGAGTTCGTGTTCCGAGTTCGTCTTTTCGTCTTGAGTGCGAAGGGCCTTCCGGACATGATGATAATAAATACCCTGTAAAAAACATTAATGTTAGTGAATCGATATCGTTACGAACATGAGACAATACATTTCAGTAGATGTGCCGTGACCGCGGAATTCATTYGAACTATGCTGACGAAAGGTTCCGTTTTGAGCAAGAGTTCTGATGCAGAGCAACATAAAAGGCAATGGAACTATTATTAGTACCAAGAGAAAATGAACTAAGAGAAGGAATTCCTGTGCCCCATCATGTGCACACTTTGATGCTATTTTTAGAATCATTGATGCTATTTTTAACTCGTTACCATGCCCGCGCGATAATCATGCTTTCTTTTAATGACTCGTTTTAGGACACGAAAAGCGCCATAATTCTCTATGTCCACAACACAAAACACAGGCTTTGTTTACTGCAAGACTGGAAGTCGTCTACCCTCAAGAAATCAATCAATCAGGTTCTTCGCTCAAAATATCTCCAAGCTAAAAATAGCATCAAACTGTGCACATGATAGCTACAAGGCTATATAGGTAGGATTCCTTCTTAGTTCATATTCTCTTGTTAGTACTGAATAAAATAGGAAAGAACCATTTTTTATCGCTTAATCATAGACTATAATCGTGATAAAATTATGGAGGTGTGATAAGGTGTACTAAATACACGATAAATAGAGTAAACTCACCAAGATGCAGAATCAAGAGCAAGTCATGATATGAGACAAGTCAGATAACTTAGGTCATTTTCCTGATAAACACATTGGTGTTTGTCATAAATCGAGGCAATAGTTCTTTAAATGCTTGCAGATGTTTATAGCTTGATAAGATGTTAAAAGATTAAAAGGAAATAATAAAAAAGCTTTAAAAAATCAGTTAGGACTGAAGAGAATGGAGTCTACGAGAATAGCGTTAAATTTTGGATGAAAGTTACCTCACATATATACGAATCTTGCAACAATTTCTAACGACTGTTGTAACTTGCACATCTCTTTTATCCCGAACACATTGAAGAACGAATACTCAAGCAATAATATGTAAAACAGAAAAAAGAGGGGGGATGTCTTCACGTAACCCTCTTGAGAACAAGATTAACGGATTAATTTAACATGCTAATACTTTTTGACTCCGCGTACTGAACCAAAAAGCCTTCTTCAGTTTCTACCCTCGACTGATCTCAGATGTAGTAGAAATCAGTTTAGCATCTTTTCTTTCTGTTTTCCCCTGAGAAGTCTGAGAAGTACTTTGCAGGGTGAGTGGGGACAATATTTTACGCGAAGAGAATGATTTTAAAGAAAGAAAAAATAGCACCACAAGAATATGCGAACGGCAGTCATTGAAAGTTGGGGAAGCTTAATTCCATTTAAAGGCAAAGTTGTAAACAAACTATGTTAATCGAGTGACTTCTTAAAGAAGATGAAACACGCAAGGAGACCCTGTTTATCCCACCTTGTATAGTACAGATGTCAAAATCGTTCATTCGTAATCCAGAAACCATTCGAATATTGAATGAAACAAACCTTCAAATTGAAAAAAGAAATGAAAAAATAAAAAGTTTACCTGTAGTGTACGCGAAAACAAGTCGAATATGCAACGAGCGAAGGAAAGTACTTTCAAACCACAAATATGCCTAAGGTGCTATTAATAGCTTGTCGTCTTCCCTCTACGAAGCAGAACCACGAGTCCAATATTCGTACATTATCTCTAAAAGCCTCTCAAGAACTAACGCATGCTAACTCGTGACACAAATTTCAGCATCTTAATAAGCGTTCTTACACTTGTATGCTTGTTAGTTTTATTCTTAAATGTGTTTAGAAGTCTTTTTAGACTTTTAACTCTCCATTAACAGTTAGTTATCAAGGGTAGGTTTTGAGTACAAGACACGTAGAGCCGAGGTAACAGTCAACTGAGACTAATGAACGAGTGTTGACCCAATATCAATACATAAACTAACATTATTATGTTTTCTTAAAGAAAACGTGCGTAATTTAGAAATCCTTAAAGTAAAAGAACCGTGAAGCAACTCTTACGGGACGCAACAAAAATCAAACATCAAAATAAAGCGGGGAAAATATTTCCATAAGAGATACGAACTCCAGTGACCAAGTTAAATTGGTGTATTTAAGCTTATCTTTTTAAGTTAAAAACCTAACTGGGTGGAATTAGAAAAATGTCGCAAAACAGATGTCTGCAAGAGAATAAAACTTTGTCAATCAGAAATATTTTTTCAGGCCTCGAAGAACAGACCTCAAGGCTAGATAAAAAGACATTAGAAAATTTTGCAAATAGCATCGCTAAAAGTAAAAATCTCTTTATCCTTCTAAATGAGCCTTAAACTTTATCAGTTAAAGGATCGCAGGAATATCAGAACAAGAATAGAAGAAGGAGTTGAAGTAAAACGAATGTAGAAATTAAATGAGAAAATATTTACCTGTAAAAATTGCTGTCGACGTGTAACGTTCTGGGACCCTTCTGGCGAAATATGATCGCGTCTGGGAAGAAGACCGATTTCTTTACTTTATTGGCTTAGAGTTGTCTTACAGGAAGCATGGGTCATTGCTAAAAAGAATATACTTGCTTTGGGTTACCCGTTGAGGACGTTAAAACATATAAATTGATGGTTAAATAGGAAATGAAATTTAATTTTATAAACACGGATTAAAAATTACAAATTTTTGAAAAAACGAATAAAGTTTTTGAAGTCGATGAAAGTCGACGTTGAAGGAATTTTTTCTTGAGTTTGGTTTGAATAATTCTGAAACTTTATACAAGGATTGCGTGATTTAGAGATAACATGAAGAAAAACCATTATATCATACTATCGTGAGCATCATGAACAATTTCTATAAAAATTGCCACACAGTAAGATTATTTGTAAACTTTCGTGGGAATCGTTTTTATGAACTTTCGGGACGAGAGTACGTAGGTTATCGAGTAAGTCCGAAATAAAACCATCAGTATAAATTTTTTTGTTTTTCTAAGCTATCGAGAATTGACAGAAATGCTTAATTTTCTAAAACACTTTGAATGGCTTTACATGTCGGATGAAAACAAGGTCAAAGGCTTGACTGCAGGGAGTCAAGAAAAAAAAACTTGGCTCCAAAGTTCGCATCACTGGCATTTCATTCATTAGAATTTTTACTCAAATTAGCGTGACATTTAGCATAATGTTTACCTGAGCTTCGCACATAACACGAAGCACAACTTATTTTGGCTTCCAAGAGAGAAGCACAATACCTAAATCCACTGCAAAACAATATGGAGTTTCTGTATTTAAATTCATTGGATTTTCAAGACCGAAATTTGCGTACGAAAAGAATACAGATGAATTATCTAGATGTTGCGACAAGTCTTATATAATTTAGACAATATTATTTTCAAAGGATAACTATCTAGATAGCTCATTATAAGAAGAATTTTTGAGTCAGTAATGTTAGTTTGCTAATGAGAGTGTGATTGCTAAAGTACATTGAAGTACGAAGCATAATGGAGTTGATCGGCGAAGCAAATGACTTCTAATTAACATCACGAAAACATGTACCGATTCTTGTAAAATATTGGAAGACGATAATACTTAGGGATATAACTTAAATTGAGAGCGTGCTCAAAAAATTTAAAGCTACTGTCCGCGTTTAAATAAATTGTGTAAATTTATTAAACCGACATAACGCGTGGTAAGGAAAACAGTACACAAAGTGAACATTGTGTGATTCATACCTTCGGTCAATACACCAATCTGTTCCTTCGTCCTTCGGTATAGAATAGTTTAAATCTGCTTTGAGATGTGTAGATGGAGTATTGGATGTCGCTGTGCGATCCTCTTAGGACAAACAATTTGAATAACTGGATCACAGCTGAGTTGGTAGAGAGGCAACGTCAATATGCAAACCACGCAAGCTAGAGCTCTGAAGTCGATCAACAGGAAATCTGTAAAACGATCCCGGAATGCCTCACGATGTGAACTCTTTGGCCTTGTAATTAGATGGAATATTAATCTTATCTCGGTGAGGTTTGAATGAAATAACCCCCTGCAATATAAATTCTGTTCCTTGACCAATCCTTGAGTGTAAATGGTTGACGATGTTCAACTGCGCTCGCTTTCAACTAATCGTTCAAGTTACATCAAGAAATTTGCATTTTAATTGGAACACACTCCGTTGATTTTGCCTCTTATCTTTGCAGTTTTGAAGTCCAGTGTGAAAGAAACTGTCGATAAATTAAAGCAGTTGAAATTCTGTTAAAAATACATGTACAAGAGTCGTGGATGCCCTCAAGGGTGGTCCATGGTGTTTTGATTAAACACTCTTCTCGCAGATTTGATGTAATTGCGAAGTGACAGTTCAGTTGTTTTTCCTTTTGACATCTGAACAAGTGCGAATAAAAAGACAAATCCAAAGCTTTTGTGTTTTGTACATTGAATAAACAGGTCGTTAATACCAAAGGAATGTACCGATTGAATAAAAAATTAGTTGCTTTGTTAATTCATTTTTACTTTTGTTCCAAAAGAAGTAATATAAAAAAGTCTTCGAGAAGACAATCTTAAGAAAGTAAAGATGCTGAATTACACTGAAAAATATAATCCAAACAACATGGAAGATGAATAAATTGTGACTAATTACAGGCGAGTATCTTTCATGATACTACCAAGGAATTCCGTTAAAAGCTTGAGGTACATACCTCGTAAGGAGCGGAGAGGAACGAATCAAAGAGTAGTGCATGGATATCATCCTTTGGAAGTGGGAGAAACAACGAAAAAATAGAAGAGTCAAAAATGAAGTTGCGACAAACCAGGCCGAAAAAGAGATATGAAAGGAACGGCTGATGGATCTGAAGATATATAGATAGAAGGGGGGGGAGGAGAAAATAAAGATAAAAACTTACTTAATGGAAGAAAATGGTTTACGAATCAATTAGGAGCTATCAGGGCCTTTCACTGGATGTGAACTACATGTGAACTACACCGAGCATGGATGACCGATTTCGCATCCGTTCAAAGGACCTTAGCTTTTTCACAATCCAAATGTTTTTATGTTTTGGTCAGCGCAAACCAAAAAATACTGACATAAGTAAAATAGATTAAAAGGAAAACAAATAAATATTTATCAAATGAAATAGATTAAAAGTTACTAAATTACGAAAATCGTTTTAATGGAATTGATTAAGAACATCCATTGAAAGGACGTTTTTCATAATCGGAAAGGTCCTTTCACTGGATGTGAACTTCATTAAACCATGACTATTTCACATCCATTGAAAGGACCTTTTTTGTACTCCCAAAGTTATACTGTATATATATTTTTTCTTGTTACAAACTAAAAAAATTAAAAGAAAAACCAAAAATAATAATAAATTATTTGAGATTAAATTAATAAAAATAAATTTAACAGACGAAAATGGTTTAAGAGCTGATAAGGAGCATCAAAGGTCCTTTCAATGGATGTGAAATAGTCATGGCTYAATGGAGTTCACATCCAGTGAAAAGACCTTTTCGATTATGAAAAAGGTCCTTTCACTGGATATGAAATGGTCATGGTCTAATGGAGTTCACATCCAGTGAAAGGACCTTTTCGATTATGAAAAAGGTCCTTTCACTGGATGTGAAATAGTCATGGTCTAATGGAGTTCACGTCCAGTGAAAGGACCTTTTGGATTATGTAAGTGGTCCTTTCAATGGATGTGAAATAGTCATGGTCTAATGGAGTTCACATCCAGTGAAAGGACCTTTTCGATTATGAAAAAGGTCCTTTCACTGGATGTGAAATAGTCATGGTCTAATGGAGTTCACATCCAGCGAAAGGACCTTTTCGATTATGAAAAAGGTCCTTTCACTGGATATGAAATAGTCATGGTCTAATGGAGTTCACATCCAGTGAAAGGACCTTAGCTTTGAAGTTTATAATCAACTCCTTAACCATATTCGTCAATTAACTTTCTTTTAATCCTCTAGGTTCTATAGATAAAGAGAAACCTATGCCGTTCAGGAGTCTAATGATTAGAAGCATGGATCTTAAAGGGAACCATTTTAGAAGCTACTTTTCCTAAATATTCCTTTATTTGATGAAAAAGAATAAAGAGGCCATTCCGCATGCTTACTCCAGTCTTCTGATTTCTAAAGTGCATCTCAACAATTGTAGAAAAAATGTTGGGCTCCCTGTGGTATCTGGACTTCGTCCCACCACAGGTAGACCGTAATACAAATATATGTTGTTGTTTTTTAGCAAACATTAATATCATTGCTCACGTTATCTGTTTTCGCTTCAATATTGTTGATACGTTGATACTATACAGAATACATTCATCCCTTTTGGAATAAAGACTTTTCTTTTACCCTATTCACCGTATCTATGGTAACTGTACGACTGCCCTCTTTCTGTTTTAATTAGCATGTGATCTGGCATGACCCAAGTGAGAGATTTATTTTCGAATGTCTCTTTTGATTTTCTGCTCGATAAATATGAAAAGAAAAGGCAAAAGAAGTAATATAAACTCATAGATTCTCACTGTATACTTTTAACCGTTTCCTTCTCATTAAAGGTATATTCCTTATTAATTTCTGAGAAATGACTGTGTTAAAGCAATTCTTCAAGTAATTTWAAAAAATTTACAATGATTTCCAGTYGAAATGCTTTAGGAATTTTTCTCGCGATCCGACACTCCACCTAGGAAAAGTCCGATCCACGGAGTAAATCCAGATCCTGAATTTCCACAATTTTGGATTTTAAGGCTAAAACCACCAAATTCTAAAAGACCAGCTGAAAGAGGTATCGATGGTGACATTTGTTTAATCTTTGTCGTAAGAAAGTAATAGTTTTTCGAGCATCAAAAGTCTCAATCCGAAAACCACTTGTAAGCTATTACTCACACCTTCCCCTCCCAGAGACACTTGTGTACTACAACTGGACTTTTGGCAGCAAAAACCTGGCCCTAATCTTATGCAGATTAAAAGAACATGCAAATTGGTGTCCCTTATCATAATCGAAAAGTCAACCAAGTTAAAAGAAATCTCTCAAGTCATCGCAAACTGACAAAAAAAATAGGAACTTTAAAGGTCCTTTCATTGGATGTGAACTTCTTGAGACCATAACCATTTCACATCCACTGAAAGGACATTTCATAATTTATTTGTTTTGGTCAACGCAAATAAAAATAATTAAAACCGACAAAAAGAAATACAATGAACGAAAATGGTTTAAAAGTGAGATGATTAGAACCCGATCCAATGGTCCTTTCCGATCAGTGCAAACTCCATTAGACCACGGTTCACTGGGTTGCCTGTATCATGCACAGAGGCCTCGTCACAATGTTAGTCAAAAGATAATGAAATGGTTGAAAGAAAAGAATGATTTCGTTTAACTTGTTGTCTAAGACGATCTTCTTCCTTAAGGTGTTCTGTACATGATATTAAAATATTTGCAGGTTCTGCCCTTTTTTAGGCCACAAAATAAACAGTTTCGCGTTATACATGTCACACTACTTGTGAATTTGATCTTGCCGCATGAGGCAACAAGAATGAATCATGAATCACCAAAATAGTGCAATAGTACCCAGAAGTCTTCACGGCACCACCCACCTTTGCGGAAATATGATAATTCAAGTCCGTAAATGTTCTTGTCAGTAAACTTTGCCAGGAAAGATAGGAAAGCATAGGTTACTTTTCGCGGATCGATATTGCTTATGTGACTGATAACGTCTGATTTAACTTATAGGTATAGGTTAATCAAAAATAGAAATTTTCACTATTCTTTATTCTATCATTCTAAAAATCGGTTAAAAAATACAATAAAGAAAAACGGGAAAAAAAAAAAAAGTGTGAGTAGGTATAATGTTTAGGTCGCCCATCTAACGTTAACCCTCCTCGGCGAGCTTGACTCAGTATCTTGCACGACAACGATTTATCCACTGGACCACGGTTCCAGGTGAATCAGCATAACAATAGCCGTGAAAACAATGCACC